GGGTAGGCAGACTGCTGACCTCCAGCAGTCTGGGGGTGCTGGCTACCGCCCAAGCCCTGGTCGCTCACCCTTTTTCCTTGCTCCAGGCATGGAGCTAGAAAAGTCCTGAGGCACAGTCCCCACGACAGCTGTCCCAGGGCCATTTTAGGGCATATACACGTTTTGTTCATTCAAAACAAAATATCAGGGAAGCAAATGTGCAATCTGCATCAATATTTCTATGCGATCTGCCTGCCATTTCCATATCCCTTGATTGACCACATGCTCCCTTTTGTTATAATTTAACAAATTAGGAAGTAACTTTTTCTACCCCCAAGGAAATCACCTGTGGGTCGTCTCATTTCTACAATATCCCCCTGAGGTCTCCTTGGCCCCAGCAGCTGCCCACCGTATTCTGAGACCACCCACAGACAGTTCCCAGGAATGAATCAAAAATCAAGCAACCCTGCCATGGGTCCCCTGGTCACAGCGCTGTCATGACACCTCCTTTGTGGTCTCAAGCTCTCCTCTTTCACTCTGCTGCTCAAAGGGCCACACTCCAAACTACAGGCCTTGAACGAGTTTCACTGGGACTGCCTGGATCCCAGGGAAATGTAGAATGAGCATGAAGGAAGGGGAAGGTGGAAGGCTCTCACCTCCATCAGAAGAATGTCCTTTGAGCTCTGAGCCTGCACCTTTGGGTGCTGGACCTTCACGGCCACCGTCCGCCCATCATGCAGCACCGCCTTGTGGACCTGGGCCAGGGAGGCAGCTCCCAGAGGGGTGTCATCAAAGCTCATGAACAAATCATGAATCTGTCAAGAGTGGAGAGAGGACAGAGCAATTAAGGTGACTCAATTCAGTGAGAGGGGCCAGGAGGATGGGCCAGGGCCAGCACTGCCCAGTGCCCCCAAGACAGATTTTCTCCTCTATCAGTTGCTTTGCCTGGGCCCTTTAGTGCCATGGAAATTCACACCAGCCACCAGTGCAGGGAGTGAGACAGAAAACACATGTGGAGGGTCGGTCTCATACCTGTGCAGGGGTACCCTGAGCACCTCCATTTAAAGCCAAAAAAGTGCCATCTCGAGTGTTCAGAACCGTGCGTCATCCACCTATTTAATTACTCACCGTCGTGTCTCCGAGGCTCTCACATATGGATATGATCAAAAGTTAACAGAACCTGGGCCCAGGGCAGCCCAAGCCCGGGGATCAGATGTAAGATGTTCCAACCCCGCCAATCTGAAAAGCTCAAGGAAGCCCAGGCTAGAGGCTCCAAACCCAACAGCTACCACTTGTTGCTGCCTGAGCCTCAACATGGGTCTCCAAGTCCACTCTTGACCCAGCCACCTGGCAGACATCTCTGCATACCAGAGCCCTGCTTTTGGTCTTCAGGTGTGATGCCCCCCCCCCACCAAGTACCTTGGGCAGATCCCTGCCCCTTCTGTGCCTCACTTTCTCTATGAAATGGAACATATACCCCTTACTCTTCCATCTTCTCTTCCATTCTTCCTTCCCTCCTTCCCTCTTAGAAAGGCCATTCCAGTTCTCCTGAAGGAAAGGTCTGTCTGACTTGAGTGGTCAGATAGATGGTCCAGATATGAATATTCTACCAGATGGGAAGGAGGGCCCCAAAAGCCTTTTGCAAAATTGTCCAGGTCTGAAATTCTCATCCCCTCCATTTCTTGAATTCCCTGTATAGCCTCACAATTCTGGAAAGGCCAGACGTTCACACACACACACACACACACACACGCACGCACGCACGCAAATGTGCATATGTATGCCACATGCCTCCGCTCCTTCTCACACCACCCAGGCTCTCATGCTGAGGTCCACTCAGTCCGTGCCCCTGCTGCCTCTCTTTGTCCCCCTTCGGCAGCAGCCACTCCATCCTACCCCTCAGCCCCTCTCCTCTCCTTGGACTTCAGAGGTCACACGACCCACGGTCACCACCCCATCCCTTTGTTTGCTAGGCTGCACCATCACTTTGCTAATCTCATCTCATAAATCACTCCCTCCAGTCCTGTCATCATTTTGGTAGCTTTCACTAACTCCATGCCATTTATCAACATCCTGCGGGGGCCAAAGGTCCAGGCAACACGGGAGGGGCCTATCCTTTTCTGTCACAGGAGATGGGTACAGATTGGCTTCCCGTCCCCCTTCTTCCTTATTGGGTATTTATTTGCACCCCTCCTATTGCCCCCTTCCCCAACTTGCCTTTTTCCCTCCCTCGTGAGTTCTGGGCTCCCTAAGGGCCAGATTCTTCCCACATCATCCCCCTGAATCACCCTGGGTCTCTCCACACAAGAATGCTTTATCCTGGACCTGGGCTTAGACTAAGAACGAGAGGGCCATCGGCCCTATAGCGCGTTAGAACATCAGCTCCAAATAGGCAGCAATTTTTTTCTGTTTTGTTTGCTGCTGACTTCCCTACAGTTAGAACAGGACTGGAACTAGTCAGTGCTAAACAAATATTGTTGAAGGACTGAATCCACTATTCTTTCTATTGGAGAGGGATTGTATCAACTCTTTCCTCCTTCTGAAATGGCTGGACCATCTTACTCCCACACTGCTACTATTCCAAAGGCCTCACACATAAAAGCACGTGTCACGAGTGGGATTTACCTAGGTGGACTCCACCTGTTACTCCAGAGTGGGGTGAGACCCTGGCCTGATCATTCAGAACCCCGGGTACCTCAGGCCACACTGATTACATCAGAGATTGACCCAACTGGTCCAATCAGACTCAACTGTTTTACGTTTGCTTGAACTGTAGAAGCGCTTTTCTTTCTTTCTGCTCAACTTGAAGCTGAAAATTAAACTTGAAGCCTGGAGCTACCAGGGGTCACACAGTAGCAACGAAGAGGAAAGCAGAGCCGTGAGAGAGAGTGAATCCTGGTCACAACGGCTGAGCCCCTGGGTCTAGCCGTGCCTGGATGCCCACCCTATAATATGTTTTTTTGCTGAAGGTAGTTTGAGTTGTTTTCTGTCACACACAACTGAAGGGGCTCTGACTGACACAGTGTGTTCTCAGGCCCCAGCAGGGATAGATGAAAGAAACCTGGGCATGGTGCCCGGTACCCCCAAGAGGCCAGTACATGAGAGTTCCATTTCCTCCCCACCCCCTTGCTGGGACTGGGATCCAGGAACCGAAGGGAGATGGAACTTCAGCAACATTCCTGTCCGTAACATAATGAGATCAACACCGCTTCCTTGGAAAGCCTCTGGTAATTCCTGAAGGAGCACCAAGGAGAATGTTTTCTAGAGAAAAGCTGTGAACTCAGACCCTCACCTCCGGCAGCTAGGATGGGCAAGGGGACCTGGGGGTCATCTGACGCCACTCCCACCCCAAGCCTCCGCCTGGCTCCCTGGGAACACTTGCTTGTTCTCTGAGAAGGACAACCAGTCTTCAAATCAGAGTCATTGCAGAGACGCTGCAGAGTCACGGCAACTGAAGAGTGACGTGGCATCACTAGGGCTGTGTGGCAGGAACAGCTGCCAGGAGCGCTGCAGGGGGTGGGGGGACGGGGCGAGGAACGCGCCAAGGCAAGCATGTCCCAGTCTTCAGGGTAAGAGGGGGACTGTTCCCCCATATCCCCAGGGAATGCGGAGGGGGGCCTCCCACAGTTCCCTGCTCCCACCAGGGGTCGGGGGGGGGGGCCCCAAGAAACCACCAAAGCCCAGGGGCCCATTCAGCACCTTGCATGAGGCCCAGCTGTGATGACTTGCCCAAATCCTCAATTTGACCAGTGGAAGCAAAGAGGCATGGCAAGTGAGGATGCACTACCCACTCGGCCCAGGGAACCTGTTGGGCAGATACCCCGCCCACCCCACCCCATCCATGCACTCCCACCACCTCTGGGGTGCCCCTGCAGCCATCCTCTTCCCCTTTATCTGTAAGCACGTCAGACACCCACACCCTCCTGTGCTTACACACACTCACACACAACACACACACACACACACGATTATTGATTGCTAGTGAATGTTCCTAGCCGGCTTATAAAAAACCGTAATTAAAGATTGGGGCTACAGGCTGTAATTAAATATGAATAAAGTATCTGTAAATGGAACCTTGATTCAAAGTGTACGCTGGAAGTACTTTATGCTGATAGAGAGTAAGGAAAAATAGACCCTGTCCCAAAAGCAGAATTTTACCCCTCATGCAGCTGAAACAAACGTCACCCCCCTCCAATCAGGCCTCATCCCCCAGACCTTTAGCAGAAAACCATTAGCAGAAACAACCTGCAGCATTTGCAGCGATTCAAGCAGGGCCCTCAGCTGCCTCCAGTCACTTGCAGAAACCTCTCTCCCCTTCTAAGGCTTTCTTTCCCCTGTTCTTTTTTTTCTCCCTCTGGGTCTGGCGACAAAATCAATTAACTAAAACAACTACATTTTAAAATGACGTTATGTGCTTTTTAATTACTGTCAGCCCATGATTCAAATATATCAATGTCCCTGTCTGGAAAAGGAAAAATAATCAGGGAAAAAGTTTCTCTAGCTTTGTATGGTCTGGGGTGTGTGTTTGTGTTTGTGTGTGTGTGTGTGTGTGTGTGCGTGCGCAAGTGTGCGTGCATGTGTGTGTAAGGGGTGGGGAGATTATGAACGTCAGAAGGGCAAGAAGAAATCTGTCACCTCCTAGGGGCTTAGCTCACCAGGGGCTCAGATTAAGACTTCAGCACGTCTATATGACATGACGGATGTTAACTAAATTTATTGCAGTAATCATTTCACAATATATGTAAGTCAACCCATCACGCTGTACACCTTAAACTAATACAGTGACGGATGTCAATTATATCTCAGTAAAACAGGAAGAAAAAAAATGTCAGCAGACAGCCTTCAGCTGGGGTCCAAGAATCAAGAGACCACGTGACATGATGCCCTAGTACTGGGCAAAGTGAGAGACCCTCCAGAAAATCAACAAGGAGGATTCCCATAAAGCCAGGTTACCGGGCAATGTTTCCAAAATGCCACATTAAGCAGCCAAGCACTGGCCAGGTCCTCATTCAGCCCAAAATAAGGAGGCAGGAAGTCAGGATCTTCTAGAGAAGCCTCAACATGACCCCTGGGGGGAGTTTCACTTGGGTCTCTTAGCCAGCCCCACCAGAGCCTGCAGCCCAGGCAGCCCCAGCCTCATGGGGACTGGCCCACCAGTCACAAGATGGGGGATGTCCCAGATTTTCCAAGATGATCCAGTTTCAAATACTCTATCCTGGTGTCCCCATACTCATTCACATCAGACATATTCTGGATTCAGAAACTACATCGCCAAAAGATAATGCTAACAAATCCAGCAAACCCTGAACTGGCCAGCTCCGGATGTAGACAGAAGCAAATCCAGGCCTTGATGCCAAGGCCAGGCGGTTCCCACTTAGGAGCCAGGAAGACTGCCCAGGGCACCTGAGCAGGTTACCATGGCATCAGCAGCAAACAACATCTGGCTCTCAAGGTCTTGAGATGGCCCACCCCACACCTGGCTGGGTGCCAGCAGCCATCCACTGCTGCCTGATGGGGGGAAGGACAAGTCCCCGTGCTAATGAAGTGGCTGGAGTGAACCATACCCACCCCAGCCTGAGGCAGACAATAGAGCTCTAGCTGGCTAGGACTCTTGCCAAAACACTGATGTCTGATGACTGCCTTGGGCAGAAAATCCATCCCCCCTCTCAGCACCAGGAACCCCTACATCTCACAGTCACCCTATCAGCTGATACCCCATTTTGCTGCAATTCCTGCCCCTCAAGTAGGGGCTGGATTTAATGACCCACTCCTAACAAACAGCACATGGAGGAAGTGACACTGTCCAATTCCCAAG